TTTTTTTCTTTTTTCATGTTTTTCGTAAAGATTGTTTCTTTTTGTTTAAAGGGTTTGGGTTAGGTTTCGTTTTGAAAAAAAAGAAGAAACTTTAAGGTACCGTGCATTAAAATTAAGAAACCAGGAGCACGGGTAAGAAACATTGTTAGGAGGGCATTCAGTAAGTACAAAATTAAGATCTCTTTAGAAGGAAAAGGGAATCAATTCATTCAATTTCCTTATTATCACTAATAAGTCTGCCAATAATTGTGTCTGCTAGACGACCATTTTACCTGTTGCAGACGTTTTTTTCCTTCATTGGTTTCCCTCATCTTGAACTTAATGGATTTCTTTCTTGAGACAATAGTTGAGTAAGTGCCAAAAGTTTGGACCATGTCTCATTTTTCTTTCATATTTATAATTATGCATCATAGCAGCCAAGTTTTATTTCTTTATTCAGCCAGGTTTTTTTCCCTCCATATCTCAATGCTCTGTTTCTAAAGAGACTTATAAAGCATTGATGAAAAAAATCAATGGTGTTATTGTAAGAAGTACTTCACCGTGAGAATAGCATAAATGCTAGTTCAATTAGGGTATTGTTTGCGGATTGATGAGAGAAATTTCCTGATACAGAGAGATGGGATATCTGTCACATAATGGAGGGGAATTATGATCAATATGATCACTGTCACTTATCACCTAACTTGATCTCACTTCACAAAGCTTTAATCCTAATTTAACTTTTTTTTTTTAGCTCTTGTGATAAATAAAAGTTACTGAGCTCCATTTGGTAAATAAAAGCTTAAGAGCTCAAATGGTTAAAAACGAAACCTTAAATGAGCTCTATATAATGGTAAATAAAAACATTTAATTAGCTCTAGTAGTATAATTATGAAAGCAGGCTTACATCATCGGAGCTCATCCAAGTAATCCAAGTACCAAAGTAAGATTTGTCTACTTTATTAGAGATGTAATATATAATTTTGTCAAGATTAACTCGGTAACATTTTAGGTCACTCCCAATCACTAGCACACTTCAGGGACTTTGGATTCTTTTATGTTAGGAAACTATTCATATACCTAATACAGTTTTGTCACAGTGTCTCAGACCAAACCAAGCCAATTTCTTTTCCGGAAAAAATTGATTCAACATTCTTGAATTGATGGCAATAAAACTGTCCCTAATTCTAAGCACTCTAGATCCCAAGTATGGAATTAAACAAGAAAAGATTAATTATATTCTGTTTTCTTCTTTAGATTTTTTATGAATTCAATCATGTAGAAACTATAGTTTAGCACAAAAAAATCTTAATTATTGTCAGACTAGCTGCAGCGCTCCATTATAGATTTTTCTAACTTGTATCAAGTTTATCCAGAAAACATTTAGTTTTTCCAGTCTGAGACTTTTTGTTATCTGTACAAAATCTCATTATGTCAAATGTATAGTATTGTATGATACTCCATGTTAAAAAAGGCAGACATGATTTTCTTTGAGACAATAAACAAACAGTAGAATGTAATTTTTGTCTTGGAGTCAAAGTTCTGTCACCTTAGTGCAGTAATAGGTTATGCCCTTCTATATTTAATATCAGTTAACTAGTTATTACACTAAGGTGACGATTAACATTTGCCATTGAAACAACCATTGGCAAGGTTTGACCACAGTTGATAGCAATATTTCAAGTCATATAGTTTACAATGTACTTCAAAGTTAGCTGGCTGATAGTATAGAGCCTGGTCAGACTGCACAGATGTTTATAGGCTGGCCTGGCTCTATTCTGGTAGCAAAGATTGTAATCACAAGGTGAAAAGCAGGGAAGGATTCAAACATAAATATTTTAACTCAGTAAATAATTGTCATTAAAGGCGGTAGCTTATTTGAACATCTCAAGTTTGTTTCCTGGAACTTATTATACCCCCGCACAACAAAGTTGTAAGGGGGGTAAACTGGAATCAGCTTGGCCGTCCGTCGGTTTTTTCTTGTCCGCCCAATAACTTAAGATTCCTTTGAACCTTAGTCTTCATATTTGGTATGGAGGTTAGTCATGATTAGTAGATGACCCCTATTGATTTTGAGGTCACCAGGTCAAAGGTCAAGGTCACAGGGGCCTTGACTTCAAAAAGCTTGTCCGCCCAGTAACTTAAGATTCCTTTGACCTACAGTCTTCATATTTGGCATGGAGGTAAGTCATGATTAGTAGATGACCCCTATTGATTTTGAGGTCACCATGTCAAAGGTCAAGGTCACAGGGGCCTTGACTTCAAAAAGCTTGTCCGCCCAATAACTTAAGATTCCTTTGACCCACAGTCTTCATATTTGGCATTTGAGGTTAGTCATGATTAGTAGATGACCCTATTGATTTTGAGGTCACCAGGTCAAAGGTCAAGGTCACAGGGGCCTTGACTTCAAAAAGCTTGTCCGCCCAATAACTTAAGATTCCTTTGACCCACAGTCTTCATATTTGGAATGGAGGTTAGTCATGATTAGTAGATGACCCCTATTGATTTTGAGGTCACCAGGTCAAAGGTCAAGGTCACAGGGACTTTGACGTCTGCCCAATAACTTTAGATTCCTTTGACCCACAGTCTTCATATTTGGCATGGATGTTGATCATGACTATAAAGTGACCCCTATTGATTTTGAGGTCACTGGGTCAAAGGTCAAGGTCACAGGGACCTTGACAAAAAAAAGCTTTTCTTCTCAATTACTAAAGAATGTCCTGTCCACAATGTATTGATTTTGACATTTTCACATTTGAAGCATGTAGAATACATAACTTAGCAATGCACTGGCTTTAAGTAACCTCAGATTTGGCAGGGAGGTTGTCCTTGAGCTCTAAATGGCCACTGTTGATTCTGACAAAGTGGTATGCGGGGGTATTCACGTCATGATAGTGGCAGTTCTAGTTAGTACTGATATCAAATGAAGAAACATGGTGATGACCGAGTTTAGGGCTCGGACCCAGAATTCCCTTGGTTAAGAAGCAAACATTCTTCACTGCAAGATCATATCTCAAAGAGAGGTGCAGGAAGACTGGCGATACTTGTGCTGATTTAAAACTGAAGTGCTGAGGAAAAAAATATGACAGTGCTACGCCTAGAATTTTATACTCAAACACTAGTGCCTGGTGTCTGGTGACTATTTTAGTACCTCGGGTGTGAACTGACTGAACACCTCGCTATGTATGAAATTATTCCAGTTGACAATATTGTGGTGTAGTTGTACTATACAATGTATTAGATATTGTTTGCTAGACAATTAAAGAGTGTCAACTAAAGAGTTTTAAGTGCTTTTCCTGTTAAATGTTTATGAATAATTGATTGCAAATGCGGTACACATTATTTGTAGACTAGATGTACAAAACGGTCTGCAGAATGCATATATCCATTGAATACTCTCTTAAGTAGAAAATATGAGCTGCGTCACGACAAAACCAACATAGTGCGTTTGTGACCAGCATGTATCCAGACCAGCCTGTGCATCCGCGCATTCTGATCAGGATCCATGCTGTTCGCTATCAGTTTCTCTACTTGTAATAGAGTTGGTAAGCGAACAGCTTGGATCCTGATCAGACAGGCTGGTCTGGATCCATGCTGGTCGCAAACGCACTATGTTGGTTTTGTCATGGCATGTCTCATATATAAAAAAAGATAAGAATGGCAGTTTGCTGAAGTATTTTACACAAACATTAGAGGAAGCTGTTGTTTTAGACAAGTGCGAGGGAGGGGGGGGTCAAATTTTAAGCTATATTTTAAAAGGGAAATTTTGGGTTTCCCTTGACAAAAAAACAAATTTACAAAATTGAAATTAAATTTTTAAAGGGAAAAAAAAGGTTTTTTGTGCTTTGGGACAAATTAAAATTAGTTTTAAAAAGGCAAAAAATTTGGTTTGGTTTCTTATAATTTAGCCAGAAAAAGGCAGCTGTATATTGAAAACATGATATGGCAGCAAGTTTGTTTAGGATGAATTACTTAAATTAGAACACAAGACATTTAGGTAGTTGCTTATGGTATTCAAAGAAATGTCATATTTTTGTTTAAATGACATTTCTTTGTTCAAATGCTGATATTTTTTTTTTTTTAGACAACAAAGTTGACCATTTTGTAGGCTCTATGGGCTAGGCTGTTCATTGTTAATTTAAGACAACAATGTTAGCTCTTTGCTTTTAGGTGAGAAAGGCTCCTGTTTGTTTTAAAAGATGACCATTTTATAGGCCCTAAGGGATGCTGTTTGATTTTAGACAACAAAGTTGACCATTTTATTTTTTTCAGTTCAACTGTAGGGTTGGTATTGGAAGCCATTTTACTTTGGTCTTGGCATTTATAGTCAAACCTGTGAACAAAGGTCATACAAGGGAGAGACCAAACATGGCCTTTATATACAAGTGGGCTTTATCTGGAGGTCATTTTGTTCTTTTTAATCAATTAATGATTGTTGAAAAGTGGCTTTAATTTACATGGTGATTGTTATTCAGAGGTGTTCTTTCACACATGTTTGACTGTAAATGGATAGTTCAAGGAAGTCAGCAAGGGCTTTCAGAAATTTCTACACCATTTTGAGCTTTGTATAGAATAGCTCATGAAGATTGATGCCAGCAATATTGCTAACAATTGGTGCTTTATGCAAACAAAGATATATGATTTTCGGAAACATTGACATACAGTCAGTCATCACATGTTGATTTATCACTGCTCTCAATATTGTCATAACACTCAAACTGCTGGAACCAAAAAGTGATTAGCATTTGCCAACAGTATGGAGCCCGGCCTGCATGCCTATACCTCCATGCAGTCTGACCATGCTCTACACTTTTAGCAAACTTGAAATTTTTCATCTTGATATCCCTAAATTGATATGACAGTTTCAAAAATGGAAGCTTGACAAGTTCATTTCAAAACTTTAGCAGGTTAAGGGTTAAAGTTCATGCATGTTTATCCCTATCCAGTCTTTTCCTGTTATAACTGCAAAATTATGTAATGACCGACATTTATAAATTTTCTTGTTATTTTGTATATTTCAGTTATTGAACAAAATATAGAGCAAGAAGAACATTCAAGTAAATCTACTGCCGATCTCCGAATACGTAAAACACAGGTATGTAAAAATAATAGTGAGTGTAAACCTCCAGAGTGCTGGTAGCAAGTGGCCACAGGCATAGCCAGAGTGCTGTCCCGCCAGACTTTTATTGGAACCCTTATCAAAGACTAATTGAAAAATTGACTGATGTCGAAGTTTATTTAAGATATATCTTAAATAAACTTCGACATCAGTCAATTTTTCAATCTAAATATTTTAGGGAAAATTTCAAAGAATGCACCGATCTCATTTGTTGCAGAAAGACTAAAATTGAATTAAAGGTAGTTGCAAAAATTTGCAGTCTTTCATATTTAACAGTGCAAGGATTATAAAAATTTCAAACAATAAATCAAGATTATTTAAAT